CACTAACAGTTGCAAAACTTAGTGAAGAGAAGAGAAGAAAAACACCCAAAACGGGAGCTATAAAATTCTCTATTCACTTCCTCTCTCCAACTTAGGTATTCGTCGGCTGTCAAGATCATGCCAAAATGAAGACTGTTTCAAAAGACATCCTTAACTGTCAGGCAAGAGCAGTTCTCATCGAGGGTGGGAGGAAGGGAGAGAGAAAAATGAAATCTGATGTCTTTTCCTGGGAGGTTTGGATTAAAGTCTGAATTCTCTACCTCAGGGCCCCCAAGTAATTATGCTTTGCCCAAAGTGAAGCCCATCCAAGAGTCTCAATTTTCAGGGAAGTTGGCAACTGCAGGAGGAATGAGGCCCACCCCAAACAAAAATCAGTATTATCTCATGCGGCGTATTCTGTCTTCTTCACGGGTGGAAGAAAATTTACATTATCTTGGAACTTAGCAGCTTTTTTTTTTACATTGTGCATAAGATACTTAGGAAACAGTGTATCTTAAAACATACAAACAAAAACTGAGCATGAATTATTTCCTATTGATATAGTTTAGTCTCCGTGGTTAGTTTTCTCACAGATTTGTGAATGGGCACTTTAGAAGAATTGTATTTGAAGGCTTCCTACTGAGAATTACTTGAAAAAGTGAAGAACACTTCATCCCAAGCATTTGGTGGTGGGAAGTGACTTACACAGACACACTTCCGTTGAAGTCTGGGGTTTAAGGCTGGGCTGTATTTGTGATCACTCAGCATTGATTTTTAGCTATCAGGAGAAATGAATTTTGAGCTATGCTTCTTAAATCTCATGGAACGGATGTGAACTTAGAAATTCTCTCTTACAATCATGCGCCAGGAATATCCCTCCTGACCTTCACAGAGCCTGGCTGCTTTTTCTCTACATTCTCACAGCAAGGTGAAGCATAGGTTAAAAGGAAAACAAACAAACAAACAAAAGCCCCACATCCTGTATATCTGTTACTGGCAGGTGGCAGGAGACCTGTTTCTCTGAAATCCCGCAGCATCTCATTCGTCTGGCAGGGCTAGGGGAAGACAACTGAAGGGCAGGCAACAAGACCTGGGTACCACTCCATCATTCACTTACGCTCTCCACGCCACGTCCTCGATCAGGCATGCGGTAGGAACCAGAAATAATCCCAGCCAGAAGTGCACAGAGCTCAGGACCATGGTCGCCTGCAAGAAATAGAAGTGACACACACGTGAATACCCTTTCCTCCAAAATCAGAGATGCAATTTAATCAGCGTAAAACATCCCATCACACAAAAGCAACAGAATGTATTAAGTTCAACGGAAGTTAAAATAGGCACCTAGGACGAATGTCAGGGGACCTGGCGGGGTGAGCTCCTGGCCGTGGTGTCCACCCACTCATCTCTATTCTTTTGTTTTGAGGAGCGCTGTCCCCCTCTTTTACGAAGTGCTTCAAGCCCTCTCCTGGCCAGAAGCTGTCCTAATCCCGCCTCTGGAGAAATGTCAGAGCCACCAGTCTCCAGCGTAATCATTCACCCACCCACGTACCCATCTGTTCCTGGTCCTCTGCTGCTGGTTCATCCACGGAACCCGCCTCTTGGCAGACCGGTTCTCAACACCCCAAAAAGGAAGGTGATCAGGTCACGGTCCTTGCCTTCAAGGGACTTAAAGTCAGGCGGCGTATCCTCCATCGCACATGGGGTGTACGTGTCATGATTACATTCCCTGGGGGTAGGAGGAAGGCTAGAAGGCTGGGGAAGACTTCTTGGGGATGGAGAGTGGGAGGCGCCTGGAAGAGAAGTCTCAACAG